TGGCTTAGCAAAAGCAGATTGGCATCTATAATTAAAATTTTTTTAGTTGTATGATCAGGCATAAGAGACCTTTAGTTTATTGGAAAGGTGCTACTTCTAAAATTTTTCTACTTTACAACGAGTTCCATTCCTGGTTTTAAAGCATTTGCTTCTCATCGTCCACGGAATTTTGGATGGAATTTGACTAAACCTGAGGTAGTTCAACTTTTTCAAAGAGCTCGGTTCAAATCTTACACTGAAAGACTAGTCATTATTGATCGTCAGGGGGAAGGTGTCCCGACTGTACGTGCTCGTGAATTGAATCATGGAAAGTTGCTCACTGGAATGCTAAAAAGTTGCAATAAAATTGCCAAAAAACCCATTTGTTTGCTAGCTAAATTTCTTGATATTGTTATGTAAACGTTAATTACAAGCTTTGTCTTTCGTTCTTCACAATAATAGCTAACATCGGTCGAAAAAACAGCTCGAAACCTAGCTTTGGGGAGCTGCTCGGAAATATGGGCTAACTTTAAGGATACTCTTACTGTCTTAAAAATAAAACACAAGTTTCATCTGATGTCATTTCAGCCAACCATCAGTTGTAATATTAGATAAGGATCGAAACAGGCAAACGAAACATGTCAAATGATGGTTCTTGTGTTTAAAATGCTGAAGAACATACAAGAAATTCGGATATTTTGAAGTTTTCTATGAAATCGTCGACTTTTTCGTAATAGAAAATTTACTGCCAATAAACTATTAATGAAGAGGAGGAATATAAAATACTGACTAGCGCTACCTCATTAGAGGACTGTGCACACTACTTAGGAACTGGGGGGTAAAGATTTTTGGCTTTGTCATGATAAAATTTATCTTAACCTGGGGGGGGGTTTGGGTCAGAGAATTTGTGAGGATCACATGGTTTCCAGTGGAAATGGACGGGGGATTGGTCGTAGCCAAGAAATGGGGGGAAAATTGAACGTCAGTGAAGGAGAATCTTTAATAGCCTATTGGGGGATCAGGTAAATTTTATCACGACATAGCCAAACATCCTTACCCACCAGGCGACAAATGATGACAAGTCCTTAATTAGTGTGCACAGTCGTCCAATTAGGGAGCGCTAGTCAGCATTTTTTACAATCCAGATGGTTTAAAGAGTCGTAAAGTGACTGGGAGACTACACCTCTAAAGTACAAAGTTCGTCTAGTGCTCCTTTGGAAAGCCTCATTGCACATCCAGTGAACGGATAATATGTTGTAGAGATGCTTTCCACTGGTATGGTTGTTTTCTGGATCCATTTGTCCTCAGCTGTGTCAAAGTATTCAACACTTAGTTCACTTTGCTTGCTATCTCTTATCCCACCTAGCACGTACAGGTTTCCATTCAGCTGTACCATACTACCATGGTAACGAGCAAAATTCAGGCTTTGAAAAAACTGCCATTCATTTGTTGATACACTATACATCTCGCAAGTATTTAGTCTTTGTCCTTTACATAGCCCTCCAGCGACGTAGATTTTCTCTCGAGTGGCCATCCCGAAGGCGCCACCCCTTTCTACTTGCATATCAGCAATTTCTTCCCATTTCTTTTCCACAGTGTCAAATCTCTCACCATTTGCGAAATATTCCTGTGTATTTTTCCACCCACCAATCATATACAGGTGTCTACCTGCTGCAACAACACATGTATTCAATCTACAATCTTTATCAATCGAGAGATCAACTGCCTCCCATCTACACAGCTCTACATTGTACTTTACGACCGTAGTTTTCTGGTCAGTGGTGTTTACTTGAACAGCATAAATTTCCCCTTTAACGATAGCTACGTTAGATGACTCCGCGTGCGATTTAAAGGCTGACCAATCGTTAAATATTGGATCGTATCTCTCTGCGCCTTCATACTTTGTGAAGGTAAGCAACTGATCACGGAATTTTATCATCTTCGATGTACGGGCATTTAACTCCATCGCACTATCTGGTAAACGCTTCCACTGGTCTTGTTCAGGAATATAACAGAAAGTGTACTTGCCACCACGAGTAACAAGAACACGTGCATCAAGTCCCTTTCTTGGTGAGTGCGGGAGATGATCTTCATTAACAAAAGTAACCATTTTAAGAGTAGCATCTACAGTTAGCCTTAAACAGACAGCACTGTCACGAACAAGTTCGTTTGTCACGATATCATGCAAACAGTCACGCGACAGAAAACCCAGTCGAACGTGGCAAAACAATTCTTCAAATGCTGCTTTTCGCTCGCTCTCTTTATGGTTTACCCAGTCTAAAATGATTGTAAAAACATCAGCTTCTTCTTTAACTGTGATCTCATCGGACGAAATCCACCTCTCGATTTCTTTGGCCTCCAGGTGCAAAAATTCATCCAGTTTTGCCACGGAAACGATGTTTTCGTGAATAAAACGCCTGCTGCTGGTGATAAGCTCGTCACAATCGTATTTCTCAGCGAGGTAAAAGGTTGAAATACAGTTAAGGTTGGACATTTCTCGTTCCAAAAACCAACCTGAAGCTGTTTTCAAGCTCGGTATGATCAGATAATTCCCTGCGGCGATCAGTTCCTCGGCATTCTCCTGAGTTACTTTCACAGTTCCAGTGTAGATGAATTCTAAAACATCTTCCATAACAGAGCCTGAAATATCCTCAAACCGAACAATCCCTTCGCGCTTCTCCTTCATGTCGCTCTGAAGAAGCTTACAAAAGAACGGACTTGCAGCAGAAAGCACATTTCTGTGAGCTTTCAACTCTCTGTTATCTTTGGAAACCAAAGTAATGTCGCACAAATAATTTTGTTTTCGCTGAATGTTGAGGCGCTTCATCAATTCTACACAGAACGGCACCTGCTCAACAGCTGAGATAGGCTCTATATCTTCCATCGTTTACAGAATGTCCTGGTTTCCTTGTGCAGAATCCGCTCAAATTTTGTTGATAATGAGGAACACACCGGTATGATATCGAAAGCGGATGTATGACTGTTTCCCAGCTTTCCGTCTAAGCTCCCAAGTTCCCCGAGCCGGGAGAACTTTGGCGACGAGTAGGTATGGGAAAGTGGTGCTGAATAAATGATGTTTCTAGCCAGTAATGAAAATTTTGAGGGAAAGACGTAGAGACCGGATAAGTTTGAAACAATATCCCGAAAGCATATTTGTACAAAAGTTATGTACAAAAAGATAAGGGTATATTATTTATTCAAAGGCAAGAAATTATAAATCTCCTGGTCAAGGATGCGTGGGATAAACCAAATGATAGTGAGGCAAGCATAACGGAAAATAGCAAAATATATCTGTTTCGTTAAGTTAAATAATAATTAGAACCCTGTAGTGCAGGGTGTACATTGATTGACTTTGATTTCGATCTTTGATCTTTGAGCTCCGATTTCACCAAGAGTTAGTTCCGCAACAGTTCCTCACAAGACACGGCTCAATCGCTCCCCCAAGAACAAGGCTATAACCTGTTAAAAGAAATATCTGCTAACCTGTACGCGACGACCCGCCACAGAAGTAAGTGAACTTTGTATGAACGAAATCAAGTCTTCTTTCAGCAACATCTCTGTAAGCGATTTTAGGTTTAAGTAACTTAAAAACAGCCGTTTATCTCTTGTTTCAGATCGAATAATTGTCAACGAATATTCGTCGATAAATGGTCCATACAATCATCATTAAACATCAATAATTATACGATTTGTGGCAGTCATCGATTTGTGGCTGCATCGCGAAACAATATCGACCTAAAACTCTAGCTATAAAGAGGATGACAAGCACTGCCGAACAAGTACTGACACTTTGCAAGCACCCTTTCTGGCGTGGCGCTTACGTTTCCACCGTCGTGACTTGGGTACGAAACAAACAGAGATTCAAGTAAGTTTTATTGCAATGTATTTGGTTTCGCTGTATTCAAATGTTTCTTATATCTTTGCCCAACTATGACAACTCTTTCCCTTAAGAAGTAAACCTATCCGTACAATGAGATCGGTTCAGGAGGCCGGAAATTTTTAAAAATTAAGGCTTGTTCATCAAGAGGGTGCTATTTCCCTAGTCTCTTAGGTAAGTTTCATAGGGAAAGATTTGGAAAGAATCCGAAGTTACGCGCGATTCTTCCGTGACTAGCAGAAATGATGGATGCGATTCCACCCATAAGCGCTGGGGCTGCCGGGATTGTTTATCTAGAATTTGCCATTTCCCTTTTCTTACAGGTAAGTTTCATGGGGCTTAATTAAGATGGTAGTTAAGCCCAAATTAGAGAAAGCTGTTTCGGCCTAATTTTGCAAGATATTTAATCAGTTCCAATGAAACTTGGCAGAAATCAAAAACTTAGCGTAACATATAAATTGGTATAATTTTAGGTTGCTCACATTATTAGTGTATTCGAAAGATTCATCTCTTATTTAACACTTGCGTTAATGAAGGTTAATAGTGTCTTCTTCAGATTAGCAACCAATGTTGAGGGCAGTGAGTTAAGCCTTTCCACAGTTTCATAGTAGTTCTCATATATAGTGTGATGTTCTCAAGGTGGTACCAGTAACTAGTAACCTGTTGATAATGTTAACTAGAATTTAGCGTACAATTTACAACATGGCGGTTTTATGTTGGGTTCATTACTTTTTGTAACAAGTACTACAATAATAATAATAATAATAATAATAATAATAATATACCGTTTATTTGCCACATTGCAGAATTAACTGAATTAAAAGGCTAAATTTACAATCAATAATTTATTAAAACTACAATTACTATAAGAACAATAAAAATATCTTAATTAACAATTTACATGTTTGCGCATTCACTATTGAAAGAGATAAAGGAACCTGAACGCTAGGTCAGGCAACGACTCCTATCAGCGTAAACAATACTTCTGTTGTTGTCGCCGGATCGAAGGTTATAACTATGACCACTCGTTGCTGTTCTCGGTATAAGAAAGTTAATGGGGTGGGATTTTTTAGACTTCTTCTGAACATATTTACAGGAGAGCTGAGTTCGTCTTTCTTTCAGGCTTTCAATGTTAGTAATATTAAGGGCATCTAAATAACTGTGGCGTGGATAGATAATATGTAGAGCTCTCTTTTGAATTGATTCCACCAACTCTTTTTAGAATCCTTAGAGAATACAGGCGCTTCGAGGCTTTTTGCGAAATGTAATCAATATGCTCACTCCACTTCAAATCATTACTGATAATAATACCGAGTAATTTATAAGTTGTGACATGTTCAACTGTGTTCTTACCTGGGACAATTGGTCTTGTAGTAAAATAATTATCATTTTGCATGAATAATTAACATTTCTTTACACTTTATCGGATTTAATTTCATATTGTGTTCTATGGAAAACTTGTGGATGTCATTGGCAGCTACATTTAGTAAGCTAATACCATTCCTTGGTAAAATTTCCAATGCCGTGGTATCATCAACGAATTTAATTCTCACATGCCAGTCACGCAAAAGATTGTTGGTCATCACAGCGAACAAAATCACGCCCAGTTTCGTCCCTTGCGGGATGCCTCCCCTGGGTGATTTCCGATCAGACAGAGAGTTCCCAATCCTTACAGCTAGTGAGGTCAAGAGGGTCCTAATCCAGTTAATTAACACCGTATCTATCTCGAAAAATGCCAACTCCTGAGAAGAATCGAATGATCAATCAAGTCAAAGCCCTTTGAGTAATCAGCAAAGAACATTCTAACTCCACAATTCCCGCTATCTGTTACCTCGTGTATCGCCTGTAGGATATAGATCAAGGCGTCCGCGGTGGAGTGCTCCTCCCTTGCGTACTGGCGTGGGTCAAGTTTTTCCGAGATTTGCGCTACAAATCTGCTGCGCGCAAACCCTTCCATGACTTTGGCAAGGGTGCAGGTCAGGGAGATAGGTCTCAAATCCGTTTGGATTTCTTGTGGCGGGGAAACCTTGGGCAGGGGGTTGATTATGGATTGCTTCAGCAGATCAGGTACATAGGCCTCCCTAAACGTCCATAATTAGCGGGGCGAGTTCATGTGCGAATTCTTTCAAGACCCTGTTAGGTATCATGTCAGGGCCAATTGCTTTCCCGATATTCAGGCTTGATAAAGAGTCCTGCACCTCCCTAACACTCACTAGAAGGCCGGGGGGGACCTGTTGATTGGTTACTTCGGTTAGAGTCAAGGGGATAAAATCTGAAATCACACTGATAAAGTGGTCGTTCACCATATTAGCTGAGGCGTGTCTGGACAGTTTTCGCTTAGGAATTGCTGGAACCATTCCTGTTGTATATTCTGACCTGTCAATAACTTGATTTGCTTCCACCATTTTTTTGGGTCCGTCTGCCCAAGGCCACTTACTTTATGATGGTAATAATGGTATTTTTCTAACCTTATTTATTTCCTACTGGACTTTATTCCTCAAACGCCTGTAGGAAGCGGAGTCTTTTCCGTCACGGGTGAATGCAGTTTGCCGCTTATTAATTAGCATCTTGATTCTCTTCGTTGTCCAAGGTCTACCAGTTGGATGAATTCTAACTGTTTTCCAGGGAAGGTAGATGTCGACTGCATTTTGTAGCTCGGTAATGAAGATGTGAAACTTATGTTTGCATGACTCTGCCGAAAAATACCGCGACCAGCCTTCGTTAGTCAGCCAACGTCCGAACGCGCGCCACGCGCTGTCCTGTAAATCGCGCATTACATTTTTGGATTACATGTGGATGCATGCTAGTTGTTATTGGTTTTGCTAAAATCGTAAAATGATCACTCCTCGCTATCTTTGGTAGTTGAGACAATTGAAAAATGGCGGGTCTATTCGTAAGAATCCAGTCAAGGGTTCTTGCATCTCTGGTTTTAAATTTTACCATTTGTTTAAGGATGTTTCACTGCGTCAAGTCCTTTGGTTTGAGACCCGTCGAAAGAGGGTTAAAATCCCCGGTAATCACCACCAGTGCATTAGGTTGTTTCATAAGTAGGCTGTCCAAAGTTGATCGAATATAGTTGGACAGAACACTGTTCGCGGGTTGTCCGTTAGCTGTTGAATGGTAAACGACACAAAGAATTATTGAAGAGATCGATCTAGGAAGGCTATAAGGCCTTAAGGAAAGCCACAGAGACTCCGCATCTGGTTGCTCACATTGAGATAATCGGGTGCACGGAATGGTTTGTCTTAAATAAATGTAGACCCCTCCACCATGCGTAAACGAACGATCGTTCCTAAAAAGGTTGTACCCCAGTATAGCCACCGCAGAGTCTGGAATTTGCGGTGACAGCCAAGACTCTGAGATACAAACAGTGTCGACATCGTTACATTCGGCGACGTATTGCAACTCATCAACCTTACTATTGAGAGATCGTAGATTCGCAGTTAAGATGACAGGGATCCTACAGGTCTTTCTTGACATTTTCAATGAAGTGTGAAGTAATTCTTGAAGGTATCTGGCAAAGATTGTAATGTTGCTCTTTAATTTGTCTTCCAGCTCGAACCCCTCGATTCCGTCGCACTATTCTCAAGTCAGAAAGGTAGTTCTTAACATCCCGGGGCATCACTGATGCGCATGACTTCAAGAAGAGTAGATATTGGGAAGAATAAACAATCAGTTCTGTATTTTGGGAATTTGCATAGCCGCCTGCAGATAGAAATACGTAGTTTTGATTTCTCCGTAGGCGTACCTCAGAATTTGGGGTCACATCTCCTGGGTTAGCTTCCACGTCCATACAAGTAGTCAAATCCCTAGGAAAATCCAATTCTGTTCTGTGTAGAAGCAGAAGACCGTGCCTAAGCCATTTTGAACAGCATCTTCTGGACCTCGGCTGGATTGAGTAGATCTTTTAATGAAAGCTAGCGACGAAGAAAACCGAGACTCAGTTACAACTTCCTTGGAATAACTCCTTCCTTGGAGATAGTAGTTTCGCTATAACTTACCAAGGTCCCATTAGAAATAATTCGGGAACCATTAAATAGCAAATATAAGGTGGCCCATAGGGAACAAGACAAACTTTTTTTATCGCGCGATAAATGATAGATTATCGCGCGATAAATGGAAATTATCGCGCGATAAATGGAAATTATCGCGCGATAAATGGAAATTATCGCGCGATAAATGGAAAGTATAGCGCGATAAATGGAAATTATCGCGCGACAATTTTATTATCGCGCGATAACATTTATTCTTATCGCGCGATAATATCTATTATTATCACGCGATAATATTTATTATTATCGTGCGATAATATATATTATTATCGCGCGATAATTTATCATTTATCACGTGATAAATGGAACCTTGTCAGGTCACGTAATCGGCTGTCATGCATGTTGTTTCCGTGGACGACAATGACTGCCACAGTTGAGGAGCTATGTTTTGAGGTCGATAGTTCGTTTTATTCATGTAAAAAGATCATTTAGCAGTACGTTGCAATACTACGACACATAGCTCTTTGAATCAGTATAGTAAACCTTGATTTTGCGAAGTCCGAGCCCGTGGAAATTTTGTATTATTTATTTATATTTTGTGATAACTTTTTGATGATTGCATGACTTACACTGTCACGGTTGTGTTACACTAAAACCTTGAAATAAACTTTCATCAGTTTGCTCATCTTCCAGTCTATACTATATGCCCTCTAAATTTC